GACTCTCGAGTATCGACGATGTCTGGGAGATGATCCATGCGACGCACAGTAGCAGATTGGTAGACTAGTGGTGTGAGAGCGCTCTCCTCGAATACGTCGTCATCGTCTCTGGCTCTAATAATCCATTCCTTCGAGCTGAGTCGGAGTTGAGGGACATCCCTGTGGGCATGCTCAACAATGGATATTATGAGAGGTTCTTCAAGGTGGGAGAATCTTTAGGTTGCCCGTGCAAGATACGGAATAGGTCCTTTCGGGGTACACGATGATTTCTTTCAGGAATCGCCACAACGGCTCGGCTCGGGGTCATTCGGAACAGTGTATCACTGCGAGCACGTCATAGACGGGGTAACAGGTCAAGGCTTTGTAGTTGTCCTTAATATCCCTCCAGGTGATGCTCGGCGACTATGCCGTTAAGAAGGTCCCAGTAGGGGACAATAGGATCTGGCTCAGGAAGATGGTTCGAGAGGTAGTAGCAGCAGCTGGACTTGGGTTCGATATCGGGCTTGGACGCGTGCTGAGCAAGTGCCTTGAGAACATTTTTATTCGAAAATCGATTGCGGACAGTTTCTGTCCAATATAGCTTTATATTCTAACTTCTAGGTCCTCCTCTAGTGTGAAAAGTCACCTCTGTGGTGTGAACTGTACCTTTGACTTTGTTTCTCCAGGTGAAGACTCTTGAGAGGATTGCGGCTCATCCCAATATAGTGTCGTATAAGCACAGCTGGTGAGTATATCGCCTCTATTATGGCGTATGCACTCTCCAGGTTGGAACTCCATCGTTCTAATGAATTCTGTCCCTACGTACCACACCTTTTCATACTCATGTCATTCTGTGATGGTGGCTCTCTGGCGGACAGAATATTCGGGTACTTCCAACTCCACTGCGGTCTGTTCACACGATGCGGTTCAGGTCGCCTGGAGGCCAACCCTTCCCCACAGTAGAGGCAATACGACGAAGGCGTCGTAGTTTACTCAAGTTGGAAAGTGGCCAGAGTCAGCAGCGAGAAGATGATGTCTCCTCAGCAGCAGCAGCAGTACCGGGAGAGTACAGCGATCCGCGGAGACTATCGGATGGACAAATATGGCAGTG